ACAGGAAGGCCTGGCGCAATATGGTTCATGGGGTCACGAAGAGTCGGACACGACTTAACGACTAAACAACAACAACAACCAAAAAATTAAGGTAAGCAATTCAACTTTTATCCACAATGGGGGGAAGTGGACTGTGTTGGCATTTGAGTTTCTATGGGCAGTGGTATTTTTTCTCAGGATCTCAAAATGAAAACGAAACCAACGTCCTAATTTTTCACTTGAAATAATATCAAGAGTTAATACAGTAAATTTCCTCTGAGCTGGTACTTCGATTTCCAGGCCCCAGCATTCAGTATCAGCCATGACAGCAGAATGACACGGGCACGGTGATACTGCAACGCAACCATTCCTCTTTCGGAGGCAAATGCCAACCAGGCATCTTCCAAAGCGTCGTTAGTGGGCCAAATCCTGCCCCATCTAGGCTGAGAGAAAAAGCGACCTGGGCCACCCAAGCCGACCCAAAGGGCTAGGCGCGCAGAGAGAACCCGCCCGCTTCCCCCACGGACGGGCTCCTCCCCACGTGAGTCACCGGAACCACGTGTGTCCCATCCAAGGGGGCCGGGCTAAGAGGCGGGCTCTCTGGCCAGCGGGAGATGGAGGCTCTGGCTGGAGGAAGTGTGGCTCCGTCTCTTCCTTGCGCGCCCGGGACGCCGGAGGAATTGTCGGGGCAGCGGAGCTCCCCGAGAGCAAAGCCGAAACTCGTCAGGTCAGGCGGCGCGCGGGGCGGGTGGAAGCACCGCCGCGGGCAGACCGTGGGCAAAAATGCCCTGGGATCTGCGCCGCGAGGAGGGAAGGGGCTGCGGGAGCCGTGGGGCTGCTTGGGGTGGAGGGTCGTCTTTTAAAGGGGGCGCGTGCGGCTGGCATCCTTCCCGGGCTGCTTGCAGTTACATAACGCGGTCCCCAGAACAGGCGTATTCCCCGGAGACTTCGAGATGATGGGGACTGGACTCGAGTTGCCCTCTGTCGCTGGGGAAGTATGGAGAATAGAAATGAAAGAATCCGGAGCAATTTGGAGGTAGAAAGGAGGGCTTGCCTGTCGAAGGTCCCCGGCTGGGGTCCAAGCAGGGCTGGAAAACCCCCTTCCCGAAATCCTGCAGAGCCGCTGCTTAAGTGCCGAGCAGCCAACCAGGCTCCTTCGAGGCCAGTTTGTGACTTAATGGAGACATCCACACCGTTTTCATGGCAGCAGGACAGAAATGGTTTACTACTGCCCCTTTTGGGGATAGTTTTGACTTCCAAGTCACATTTAGGGCCTTGGGATTTCCTGGTGATTTCTCATCCAAGGACTAACTAGATCTAATCCTGTTTAGTTTTTCAAGATTACCAAGGTCAGCTCGGTCGTGTTATCTATGTAATGAATTCAGTTGAAATAATGTTGTTAAATTTGGTCCTGGGGATGAGAGTGAATGTATGGGATATGCAGCTTTCAAATAGTATTATGAGTTTAATGTCCACATACAATATTCTTCCATGGCTGAGTAAATTTTTCTCCTGAATTGCACATACGTTATTGAGACGATATCAGAGGCATATTTTCACATAGAAGTGCCTCAGCTGAACAGATGTCAGGTAGAGGCCACAAAAATGCCATTTTGTTTATAACTAAATCATACAAAAATTGCTTTTAAATATTTTACTCATAAACTGACTGTTTTTGAAAAACAAAGACATCTTGTTTAGAAAATGAAAGTGTACCATGTCATACCTTATTTCCATCCATTGGGAGCTGTTGAACTGTTTTTTTTTTTTTTAATGGATAGCTGTAAAAAGCCAAATAAACAATGGGAAAAGGGAAACAGTACCTCTCTTTCTTAGAGAACGAGTTTTGTTCTTCTTCTATGCCTGTTGGATTGCTTTGCACGTTTACTAGGGAGTAAGTGCTACTGGATTTGAGACTTACTTTTAAATAACTGTGCACAGGATTTAATGCATGACTGGTATGTTTGTGTATAACAAAGCTATTGCTGTAATTTAAAAATTGATTTAAAAAGCTCACAAAAGCTATTGCTGTAATTTAAAAATTGATTTAAAAAGCGGCACAAAAGCTCACCTTAATCCTGAATATGAATTTGAAAAAGCCGAGGGAGAAGTACATATGCCAGTCTTCACCTATAAGGTCACCATAGGTGACATTGTTGCAACAGGTTTGTGAAAGTGTTGCAGTGCGTTAAGATTTATTTCTTTGATTCATTGCATGTAGTGTATGTTTCTTTGAAAAAGAATGAAATGTTTCTTCTGTTTAGCATATTGCTTCCTTGCATTGGTCCATAACATTTGAAGCTAATTTGAATTTTTTTCAAATATCTAGGAAATGCACCTTATGAGTTGCTATTAGTGATGGGCTCTTGTAATGGCCCTTTCATAATGTCCAATATTGATAAGAGAAGGACATCTATCTGTCTATCTATCATATAGTACTTGTGAGATAGTAGGTACCAGGCTTTGCTCCGCTTCCTCACAAGGCTATTAAGAGAATGGATAAGTAACTATTAATTCAGAAAGATTGGAGAAAATTGTGTAGAATTTAAACTCCAGTGCATCAATCTATATAAAGACTTTGACTGCTTTACACTACAGGCAAATCATCTGTTGTGTTTATGTCAGCCCTTATAGGTAGGCCAGGCCAGGAAACAGGTAGCACAAGAAAGACTAGAATTCTTTTGATACAGGCTAACCATAGAATCATGAAAGTGTTTCATGGGTCTAATCAGCCTCTAAACAGGCTTTCAGGCCTGACAGTGTTTCTCTTTCCCATGCTCTTATACCAGAGCCAAAGGGGGCAATCCTGAGTTTCTTTCTCCTCCTAGCTCCTGTTTTCTCCAGCTAAGTTTGTGTTTTCCTAATGATTGCTACATACCTTCTTCAAGGCTGCCTACATGCTCTTTCCTCCTGGGTTTCAGGAGAGTAGTTAAGACGTGGCTTTTCCTTCAAGCCCAGGAGAAAGGCATACTTTGAATGTTGGGATGTGGACATGGTTAGGTGGACATGGGACTCGTATCACTGCAGCTGATACTTACTAAGCCAAATGGCAAATAAGGTGATATTCTCTCCTGTTTTCCCAATGTACACATTTGTATGAATAAAAAGTATAATCACAGAAGCATACTTTAAATTTTCTGGATTCTAATCACTAAATGGCATGAATGAAAAATAAAGCAAGATATTTTCAAAAGAAAAAAAACTGTGATTGTTATTTATTTCTTAAATATATTTCTTTTTCTTAAATATTCATAATCTTTTGTTGAACAGCTTGGAGGAAATTATTGCAGCCAAACCAAAGAAAACACCCATTCAGCTCTTGCTTGAATACGGCACAAAAGCTCACCTTAATCCTGAATATGAATTTGAAAAAGCCGAGGGAGAAGTACATATGCCAGTCTTCACCTATAAGGTCACCATAGGTGACATCGTTGCAACAGGTTTGTGAAAGTGTTGCAGTGCGTTAAGATTTATTTCTTTGATTCATTGCATGTAGTGTATGTTTCTTTTAAAAAGAATGAAATGTTTCTTCTGTTTAGCATATTGCTTCCTTGCACTGGTCAATAACTTGTGGCTCCCCAGATAAGGCTGAAATATTAGATGCTACTGAACTACAGCCATGATTGGCCTTGCCGGCTGGAATTACTAGAAGTTGTGCTTCAGCAACATTTAGAGAGCCACATGTTGTGCACCCATGAAAGCAAATAGAACAGGTCTGTGCTGGATGTCAAACTGAGGGAGAGGATGCTCCAATGTTTATACAAAAATCTGTGTTGTTTTTGTTGGGAAAAAAGTGGCATCTGTTCTCTTGGCATTAAAGGTAAGGAAGCAGATAATATGTATTATAAATGTAGTTATGGAAGAAAATGGGATTAGTGGACAGCTGATTAAGTTTAATGATCATGGTGGTGATGGGACCTGGATTTAGAGAAAATATGCCAGTATGGAGGAAGAAGTGGAACTCACAGTGTGAATATCTTTCCAAGGCCATCTCCCCCCAAAACTGTTCTCATCTGTGTGGAAGGCAGTCATTTTAAAATTTAACAGAATTTGCCTTGGAGGATGAATCCAGTCCTCATCCCATCACTGCTATCTTCCAGGCAGCAGCTAAGACTGTGCAATAGAGGGGCATTCCCCCCCGCCCTTTGTATTTATGCCCTTCCATTCTCCTTTCTTCTGATTCCAAACATTTCTCTTCCTCTTTCTATTCTGCCCCTTCTCATCTAATTTCAGAGCCCAAAATGTCCAGAGGTCTGTTCTGATATCTTCCCTAGCTTAATCACTTCTGAGGTCACCTTAACACTGATAAAGCACTACATAGATGCAAATCTTGTGTTTTTTCAAAGTCTTATTTACACTGCCAAATGTGATTGGCCATTTCATCCCCTTGGAAAAAGTAGATTGACCAGGTCTCTGTAGGATCAAGGCAGTGATTTCACATTTTAATATTTTGAATAATGAATTTATTTAAATGCATAATGATTGCGGCCTTTAAACCCCTCTTCCCATCTTTCCCAGAGAAAATAGTAACAGAAAACTGTTGTTTGAATTCAGATGTTGAGATCTTTGTTGTTACTCTGCTCTGAACAACAGAGAAATATTTTTTTTTCTACCGCTTCAGGAGAGGGTCCCAGCAAAAAGATTGCAAAACACAGAGCTGCGGAAACTGCACTGAATATTTTGAAAAGCAATTCAGATATCTGGTGAGTTTGTTGTTGAGCACTGGGCAGGCAATTAGCCAATTCACATGAGAGTTAAAAGTGAAGATTACCTGTGGGGTCCACGCTAGCCATGTTCTACCCTCTCCATCCTGCTCACTGTGTCTCTGATCTTGTGTTGACAGAGAAAGTTTGTCAGGATGTTCTCATGTTTTCTTAAATGGTACCATATGTTCCTGAATAGGGAATGCTGGACAATGTCATTTGTTTTGAAAAAGTATTGGAAGAAACAAAATATACATAATAACATCTCAGTTATCCCTGTTAGGAGATAGGTGATCCACTGAAATCTTTTCTGGCGTTTTAGATCCTGTCAGAATTTTTATCACATTTACAACTCCTTACATCACTTGGGACGTTTGATGAATTTTCATGAAAATCTGTTTAGGTATGAGTAGGTGGGAATTTCACAATTAGTAATGTCTGAGATTGCAGAAAGTTTCTATATTTTATCAATTTTGAGCAAGTTTAGTCCACACACAATCCTTAATTTACCTTCATGCATTCTGTAGCTTAATTTTAACATCTCTGTGCAATCAGTTAGTTCAGGGATCCACTAAGACAGGGTTCCTCAACCTTGGCAACTTGAAGATATGTGGACTTCTACTCCCAGAATTCCCCAGCCAGCCATGCTGGCTGGAGAATTCTGGGAGTTGAAGTCCACACACTTTAGGTCACCAAGGTTGAGGAACCCTGCACTAAGATATAAGTGTTCTTTCCCCGTGGTCCACTCCTTAGGAGAGAAGAGGATGTCAGATAATGAAAGAGAAAGGAAAAAGGGCATCAGGAAGTTAAAGGTAAAGTTAAAGAGAATAAGTTTCCCCACTGACTTCTGACTCCAATATTACTTCAGATCCATCTGTCAGATTATTAGAGGGTCCCAGTAGTCTATCTATGAAAAAAGTAGGAAAAATAGGATGACAACTCCTGTGAAAAATCCAGTACATTTGGCATTATAATTCATGTGTAATAGTGCCAGAAATAATTTCTAAACTGTCAATTTTAAGTTTACTATGTTCATTTTAGTATTTCTATGCCAGACCATTTAATCCCTGAACCTCTCAATCAAGCACAGAATCAGACCAATCCGATTGGATCATTGCAAGTGAGTTACAATGACCTTATATTATTTTGCTGTTTCGTTCTCTTTTTAAAGTCCATACTATATCTTTATGTTTTAAGAAGTTCAAGGAATCTTATACTAAATTACAAACCAGGTTTACAAAACTTTTTTTCCTTTTTTTTTCCTTTTTATTTTCTAATGACAGAGTAATACAGGTAGTCAGGAACAGGTAGCATGAATGAGGAAAGAGAAGACTGTTCACCTCACCTTCAAGAAAGAATGCAACATAAAGCCAAGTTGGTGCTAGCAAAATAGGTGAAGAGAAAAGATGGAAGTACTGATATATTAGACAAGGTTTCTCTACCAAAAACAGAGAAAAGTTTTCTCTGTGAAGAACGACACAGAGATCTTTTCTTTGCCCATGAGTCTTGTCCAAGATTGGTTTACATGTAAAATTCCTCCACATTTTTCTTTAATTGAGATTGACAGGGTTGATGAGAAGCTTACAAATGAAGCTTGTGTGTTTACCCCATCCTCTGTTACCTTTGTAATTGCAATCTGGATAAAGACTATTTTGTCCCAGATTTTAGATGCATTTGGGAACCAGACACACTGTAATTAACTGAAGCCTTGATTTAACAGGCTGTTCAGGGGATGGTGTCCGTTAAATCCAAATGCCCCTCTTTTTCTCTTTTTCCCTTCCCAGAGGTTGACTACAGGCACTTATGAAGATAGCCCTCTTAGGCCACAGAACCTCTTAATTTAAAAAAAAACAAAACCCACGGTCCCTGAGCAAGAGGCAAAACACTAATGGTAGAAAATAGACAGTGTTCCAATGAAAATTTTTTGCCCTTAATCTTTCACAGAACCCCATCAAGTCCTTGCGGAACTCTTGGATTTGCTCTTAGGGATGTCATTCTCAGCCTTAGGGACTATTGAAGGAACCTTTTTGCTCCAGTTGCTCTGTTATGAAAGAAGTGTTGATTGGGGCAAGAGCCAGGGAAGGGGAATTGCCACTGCTGCCATTGCTCCAGTGTCTAACCACTGGCCTGTCTGGTTGATCTTCCTAGCATCTTCTGCTCCTCCATCTCTTGGCTGTCACCCAAGACCATCACCTGCCCACCAAATCTTTCCAGCCGCCTTTTCTCAATTCAGTCATTGCCTAGATGTGTTGCCCAATCTTCCCAATGCCTTCCCTCTCTCGCCCCTGAATTCAGACATGGAGCTTCTACATATGCCACCCAGTCTTCTTAGCACCATGCTGCCCCCATCTGGAACTCAAACGTGAAGCATGCACAGAAGCATACACAGGTCTTAGCAAAAGTTGTACCTATTGTCTAGACCAGTGTTTCTCAACCTTGACAACTTGAAGTTGCATGGACTTCAACTCCCAGGATTCCCCAGCCAGCCAAGCTAGCTGGGGAATTCTGGGAGTTGAAGTCCATGCATCTTCAAGTTGTCAAGGTTAAGAAACACTGGTCTAGATTGCTTCCCCAAATAACAGAGAAGTCCACTATTTTAACTGTTACATCCAAAGTCAGTTAAACTGAGGTCTATTAAACAGAGGGTTTACTGTAATTAATTTTGGAGTTGTTTCCTGTGCTGGATAAGGAAACTTCTGAAATGCAGTGATTCCTTTAAAGCTGAATCTAAAATCTCTTCTGTTCATGCTTTTTTCCCTCAAGGAGCTGACTATGAGGAAGGGTTGGAGATTACCCGAATATTCGCTGGCCCAGGAGACAGGGCCACCTCATAAGAGAGAGTTTACAATGACTTGCAGAATAGAAACATTTGTAGAAACAGGTACGTAATTGTTTTTCAGAATGACCTGAATTTAGCGCAGAATTAACAACGATGAACAATCTATTGATGTTTCTATTTTTCATATGTTTTTCATGTTTATATAATGTTGCTTGATAAACTGCCTTGTCAGATATTTCGCCTGGAAGCCAGTTTATGAATGTTTTGGATTAAAAGTACTTCTGGACATATACCTGCACATACAGCAAGGCAGGGAGAAATAGTGATTTCTTGAGACCTATCAGGAAGTTTTTATGCATAGCAAGGCATGCGTCCAAGACAGGATAGTGCCCCTTGTCTATATTCTTACAGAATATCCTACTTCACAATTTTTTTTTTAACACAGGTAGATAACAAATACTAACTTTAAAAAATATGCAAACACATACCCCTCTGGTCTGTATACAAAATTTACTTCTATACTGTGTTTTTGCTCCTTGATCACATGTTTTGAAGCTAGAAGACAGGGGGGGGGGGGGGTTCAGACACTTATTTCCTATTATATTAAATGCCACTGAGTTATGAACTAGTGATAAGTTTCCTCTTATCTCTTCCAACTTAGAGGAAATTTAATTGGCCTAATAAATAAAATCAGGGTGATTTCTTGAATCACATTGGCTACCTTTCAAGTTGTCCAGACAATAGAACATCAAAACACTGATCTGTTACCCCCTGAACATTGTATACTGAATGTTTTTTTTCCCCTTTTTTGGTATTTCAAAAGGTGGTTCTGCCAGAAATATCTGGCTGGTAAAATCTAGCAGTAGAGTGGCCGTTTGGTAAAAGTCATGTAAAATTGTACGTATGTTGATGGAAGGAAGATTTCATAGCATCCCTAGGCAGAGAGCTTTTGTTTTTCTTCTGACTTGACTACTGAGTCAGCAGTGCATGTCTTACTCCCCTGCTCCCTCTCCTGTACTTGGTGCAGAAAGCTTATATACCTGCTTCTCTCCTCCTGCATGGACCAATCAGATAGGCAAGGCACCTGTGTCTTACTTGTAGACATCCCACCAGAAATGTCCAGGAATCTAGCAAAGTTCTGCTCGATCACCATTGCTCTCAGCAGATATTGGAGCTGATCACCCACAGTGGCCTTAACATTCTGTCATTAACCTGCCTTGCTGTTTGTTTTCTATCATGCAGCATATTACTGTTCTAACTTTCAATTGATCTCTGATTATAAATCAATAAAACAGAGTAGAAATTAGGACTCCAAATGATTTATCTATATATTAGTGCAATTTAGGTATGCAGAGTTTATTTCAAGGCAAGAGCCTTTATCCCTGGAACTTTTTTATATGGTTGAATAGATGCAGTCAGCTAAGTCTTTATGTCCTTCTACTAATTGCACTTGCAGCTCCTTTTCTTCCTTTTCGCAGAGACTTCACCTTCAAACTGCAACAAAGTGGTCAGCCTGCTGTAGTAAGCCAGGTTCAGATAGGCCTCAGCTGAGTTTAGTAAGCCTGGTTCAAACAAAGCCATCAGTATCTCCCTCTTCTTTATATTCTTCCACATCACTGTGCATTCTCATCCATATAACGATTTGATGACAGCAGCTAGAGGGATCTCAGAGGACAAGAGTCAGTCACTGATGCCTATTGCTGAAGTTAATAAGAAGTGCAGAACAAAATATATACCAAAAGGATTTCAAATTTGTGGCTACAGAAAAGGATCTACATGCCGCAAATGTAAAATGTACTGTTTGATTCCAGAATGTGTTTATCTAATGTAATCCAATATGAATTCTTTATCTATTTCAATAATTTTGCCTTCTGTTTCATTATCTAGGTATGGGAACATCAAAAAAATTAGCAAAGCGAAATGCTGCTGAGAAATTACTTGAAAAATTCCAGAGTTTTTCTCAGGATAATATCGCAATTTCTTTAGTAAGTAATTCATTAAATTTAATGGAAAGTACAGTGGGGCAAAAAAGTATTTAGTCAGCCACCAATTGTGCAAGTTCTCCCACTTAAAAAGATGAGAGAGGCCTGTAATTTTCATCATAGGTATACCTCAACTATGAGAGACAAAATGGGGGAAAAAATCCAGAAAATCACATTGTCTGATTTTTAAAGAATTTATTTGCAAATCATTTTTCATCATAGGTATACCTCAACTATGAGAGACAAAATGGGGGAAAAAATCCAGAAAATCACATTGATTTGCAAATAAATTCTTTAAAAATCAGACAATGTGATTTTCTGGATTTTTTCCCCCATTTTGTCTCTCATAGTTGAGGTATACCTATGATGAAAATTACAGGCCTCTCTCATCTTTTTAAGTGGGAGAACTTGCACAATTGGTGGCTGACTAAATACTTTTTTGCCCCACTGTACTTTCCATTAAATTTAATGAATTACTTACTAAAGAAATTGCGATATTATCCTGAGAAAAACTTTTTCATCATAGGTATACCTCAACTATGAGAGACAAAATGGGGGAAAAAATCCAGAAAATCACATTGATTTGCAAATAAATTCTTTAAAAATCAGACAATGTGATTTTCTGGATTTTTTCCCCCATTTTGTCTCTCATAGTTGAGGTATACCTATGATGAAAATTACAGGCCTCTCTCATCTTTTTAAGTGGGAGAACTTGCACAATTGGTGGCTGACTAAATACTTTTTTGCCCCACTGTACTTTCCATTAAATTTAATGAATTACTTACTAAAGAAATTGCGATATTATCCTGAGAAAAACTTTTTCATCATAGGTATACCTCAACTATGAGAGACAAAATGGGGGAAAAAATCCAGAAAATCACATTGATTTGCAAATAAATTCTTTAAAAATCAGACAATGTGATTTTCTGGATTTTTTCCCCCATTTTGTCTCTCATAGTTGAGGTATACCTATGATGAAAATTACAGGCCTCTCTCATCTTTTTAAGTGGGAGAACTTGCACAATTGGTGGCTGACTAAATACTTTTTTGCCCCACTGTACCTGCTTTACTGGTGAACTTCATTAATATCCTCTTCATTCCTAATAATATTCCTCCTCTCTCCCTTCTGTCCCTCATCTTTTCCTAATAGGTAAAGGATGACATTTTTATACGCAGTATTTTGGGAGTAACTTCCACTGAGCATAATTTGATTTATTTCTGAGTAAACATGCATTGAATTGAACCCTGCAGCTCCCTCCAAAAGCTAAGATTGTAAATCAGGGTGTATAACTTTTCAAATGAAGGTTTCCTCTTGGCCCTTAATTGGCATACCAAGGGCTGCACTTCCAGCGGTAGGCAGGGTTAGGACACAAAAGGAGGTATGGACAGGACAATACGTTTGATTAAAATTAAACACAGTTAATATAGCACCTCTCCGTGCATTTCACAATTTTATGTTTGTTAAAATGACAACTTGGTGGCGGTGCTTGAAGAGGATTGAAGAGTCACACCCAAAGCTTCTGTGGGTTGCTGTTTGAGCCCTCCTGAACTAGATAAACCTCCCTGAAGTCCTTGCAGTCACTGACACCTCATTGTAAATGCCTGTGGATCCCACTACTTCCATTGTCTGACTGCCCCTTTCTTTGATTGGCTTCATTATCCAAGAACTAAGCAACAGGGATGAGGTTTTATACATACTCTAAGAAACCCCACCTATCCACTTGGTATCCACTTGATGAACTGCATTACTGTTTGGTGTAAATTACAGTACATACTGTTTTGACAGCTACAAAAGGGTTGATAAACTCTGCAGTTCTTTCACACATGATTAAAGGCTCAAGAATGCTGTCTTCGCCTGTATTTGGCCATCTTCTTGCAATGTTTCCTCTTCATGTGCTGGAAGAAATTGTCTTGGTTATCTTCACAACAGAGCTTCACCACCACCACCTAGGCAGGTTGAAATGCTAATAAAAACACCTCAGACATGACTTGGGTTTTTACTTATCATGTTTATTCTTTAATACTTTTCTGAAAATGTAAGATACCAAAATCTTGGAATTGTTTTATGGTAGGAGCCCTGGCAAGTCCTTCCAGCAGTGAAGAACTGTTTGTTTCCTGCAGTGGGACTCATTTACTATTCCTTGAATAACCCCCTGTTCATGCAACATTCATAGTTTTAAATGATTACTAGATATCTGAGATGAAACAGAGCTGGCAACTCTTATTACTGTGCTTTTAATAAAACAGTGTTACATGCAGAGCTTTAGTACTCAAATAAAGCAATATAGAAAGTGTCATTTGCTTCCCTTCTGCTTGGCAGGTTTTAGTTAAGTCACACTAGGACTCCCAATAGCTTGGCAATTGTAGGTGATTGATAGTTGTCCATGATATATTAAAACAGTACTATTAAAAACAACCCAAGCAACTACAGGTAGTCCTTGTTTAGCGACCACAATTGGAACCAGCAACTGGGTCATTAAGCGAAGCGGTTGCTAAGTGAAATGATGACTGTGCTTATGATCTTACTTCAGTTTTCCTTTGCTTTACAGACCTGTGAAGACTGTAAATGTGAGGATTGGTCATAAAGTTACTTTTTCATCACTGTTGTAACTGCTAAATAAGGCAGTCACTAAACGAGGACTACCTGTATGCCAGAAGTTTAGACAGGGCCACCAGATTTTGTTAACCACTAGATGGCAGCAAAGAAATTCAGAAAAGTCTAAATCATTGCTGCCCTCTAGTGATCGACTGGATTCTTAGTGCTGTCTTACCTCCTCTTATGAGAATGAGCACTTTTTCAGTTAAAAAAAAGCTATGAAAACATTTTTGGTAAAAGGCAAAAAATTTATATGATCTGAAGAGAAACCAGAAATAGTCTTTTTCTTTTTTTTTCTTTAATTATTATTACCGTATTTTTCCGACTATGAGACGATACTTTTTTCTAAAATCCTTACCCTATCCTTACCCCAACTGAAGGGCGCCTTATTCAAGGAAGTCAGC